AACCCGTAGGCCCAACACGTAAGCCTGTGGATCTCGAGTGGATGGTATATATGAATGTGATTCATGTGAAGCAATAGCAAATAAGATGAGCTTAGAACTTTATGCAATAGTGGTGCCATTACTTTGAAAGTTTCAAAGTATATTTCACCACATGAATGAAAGTTTCACTTTGAAAGATAATAGTGATGCCATTACACGACTAGATGTTCAATTATATATTTTGCGAGAGGCATAATACTACCTCCGTCCCATTTTATGTGTCTCACTTTGACTTGACACGATTATTAATAAAATGGTTGAAAAAGTAAAAGTTGTGATTGAGGTATGAGTATACTAAAGTGAAATGGTGTAAGTCATATATATGTTTCAAAAAAGAAGAAGAAAATAGACAATTATTTTGGAATAATCCAAAAAGGGAAGCAAAATAGATAAAATAGGACTTAGACCATTTGTAGTGGTCAAGAGTCCAAATTGTTAAATTTGGACTCCGTCCATATGAAAACAGTGTTTAGACTCCGTTAATACTATTTTTCCCTGCATCCGTTCACCGTCAATAAAATACACTCTGCATATTTTTTACATATGAATTTAGTAAAACATTAATTAAATTATTATAAGTAATGTTTTACTTTTAATTTTTCTCCTGAATAATTATGAAATAAAAAAATACACATTTCGATGTAAAAATAAATAATTTTCACAACTTTTTTTTAACATTTTTCGGTTAAAAAAATGAGTTTGTTTAAGTGAAGTTCGATTATAGAATATTCAGTTATTTGTGAAGACTTCATGAATTGAAAATTTATGTTTCGTTTTTTTAACTCAAGAAACTGCAACAGTTAAAATTTTAAAAAAGAAAATCATTTTATATATCACATATGGATGTCATATGAAAGATCATAAAAGTTTAAGAATTTTGATATATTCTTTGAAAAATTTAGATGACAAATAAAAAAGTTATATAAGTTTAAAAAAACTGAGATATAATGATGCAAGGGTGACACCAGAATGACATCATCCTCACCAAAAGAAAACATGTAGCGGTGCCATTCTTTTTCTTTTTTCTTTATTTTTTCTTTTTTCCACTCTTCTAAACTCACCCTTTATATTTAACCCCCTCCATCCTCTCATCCATTTTTAATACCCCTTTTAAACCACCACTACACACAATTAGGAGTCCAAAAGTTCCATATTTAACATTTTGGACTCCTAATACCCCACCACTCCAAATGGTCTTAGGGATTATATAACTTTAAATGAATTCCCTTGTATAGTTGTACTAGCGATTATTCGCGCAAGGCGCGAGAGTTTGCCCAATATTAAAATAATGTTGCCTTTTGTAATTAAAAGTGTCATATGCAAAATTGTTAGGAGAGTTTCGTAAATAGCTAATGAAATTGTACATATCGAGTCTTTTTGGTGACTATGATTTTTCGGTTAATAAAGTTTATCAGCCAACTTTTTAATCAAACACGTAATTCTTTATTTCGAGCGTTGAAGGTTGTAGTTACTTTTCTGGCTGTATTGACCGAAGTGACTGTAGATGACTATTTTAGTTATTTTTCACATATTCTTTCTCTATTTTCTCAATAAAATATATTTTAAATACTAGTATAAGTTATTCGTAAATCAACAGAATCGGCCAATACAACCACTTCAGCCAGAACTTCATAAATTTCAGCAGAATCAGACAATTCAGCCACTTTCAGTGTTACCGAATGAGCTCATCATATACTGCGTATATTTTAAAAATTGTCAGAATAATTATATTACATAAAAGATTACTTTCATTTAAGATTAGTAAAAATATATCTCCATACTTATAATAATGCATTAAATTAAGTAAAATTGAGTATTTTAAGAAAAAACAATAACTCTGAAATCTTAAAAGATCATAAACTATTAAGTAAATGAGAAGTACATCATTATTCATAGAAGAAATAAAATAATATAATAACAATTAAAAAGTTCCCATTTAAAAAAAGGAAAAGAATAATATGGAGTAGAAAAATAAAATGAAATAAAATAAAAAGGAAGAGGTGGCATGGCCATCCATATGATGGTTCTTTTCTACATAGATGGCCAGATGGGAAGGATATAACGGAAGTTTAAATGTTACGGACGTGAGGGTAAAGCAGCACATGGAAAAAATAGAGTTCCATCTTTTAATAACAATGTACAACATCTCATGCATCAAGTGTGTTGACATAATTCAAGGGTACCAACCCTCATTCATAATTATATTGTTATTATTAGGACTGAGCAAAACCCGATCCGACCCGAAAAACCCGATATTTTTTTCGGATATTATCCGAACCGAAGTGGATATCCGACCCGAAAAACCCGAAACCGAAAATCCGATTAGTATTGGGCCTAGACCGGGTGGCGGGTAGGGTTTGTGAAATCCCAACCCGACCCGCCCGAATATCCGAAATATATGTTAGTGTGTAGTTTGAATATTTAAATTAATACTTGTGTTCAATTATTTGTGTTATTATTTGTGCAATTTGTATTAAAATATTTGTGTAAATTGAATGTGTAGTGAACTAGTGTGTACAATTTTTGTTAAACTGGTATTCCAACACTTTAACTATCCAATTATAATGTGTTTTGATATAACAAAAATATCAGAAATATATTAAATTATGTAGTGTGTACTTTGAATATGTTAAATTAATACTTGTGTTCAATTATTTGTGCAATTTGTGTTAAATTATTTGTGTAATTTGGAAGTTTAGTGCACTAGTGTGTACAATTTTTGTCAAAGTGGCATTTAAACACTTTAATTATCCAATAATAATTTTTTTTAATATAACCGAAATATCCGAAACCCGACCCGATATCCGATAATATCCGACTTAAAAATATCCGAAATACCCGATTTGAAATATCAAAGGGTCGGGCCTAGTATTTAAATTAAAAAACCCGAACGGGTTTAGGGTTTGCAAACCCGACCCGCCCGAACCCGACCCGTGCACACCCCTAGTTATTATTATTAGATGTCTGTTTTGATTTCTTTCGGATCTCATTGTACGTGATGTTGGCTTCAGTGCCACACATTTGAGAAAGTAGGAAGATGGAGGACATCATTTTAGAAAAGAAAAATATTACCGGTGGGCGTAGCTCAACTGGTAGCAAGGGAGTGCCACAAGGGTTAGGTCTCGGGTTCGAATCCCGGCAACTGCGATGAGGGGTTACTATGCTGAAAAATGCATAGGGTCTCTGCAAGTACCGGAGACAGAGCCCCACTCTCTATCTGTCAGATTGTGATTATAGTCCAATTTACTCTCTATCGGTCGGTGGTGGGGGGCCCTCAGGGATGGGGTGTCATCCTTTTTTTTAGAAAAGAAAAATATTGAATGGAAATGGATCTATAGAACAGAGGCTTGGGAGCCTCTCATATTTGAAGTACGCCCAAAACCAGTTATCCCCGGCCTTCTAACCTGACATGCCTTCTTCTTTTCAACGCATTCTTAATATTTAGTAAAACACAAATGCGAACATACTCTTTGTTGTCTCCATTTAGGGTTCTTTCATTAATCTGGATCAGTTTCCCTAGGTAAAGGCCAATACTTGTTGCCACTGTCCCAATCCTCCTCTCGAGCCCTGCTTCACTGATAATGTTCGATCAATCCCTGTTAGGAGCCAGCGTCGCCGTACGCTAGGGTTTTAATCGCCTCGTTTGAACTTTATAGTTACGGAATAGTACGCATCGAAATTTTGAACAGTCTTAGTAAAAATGAATTTATGTACACTATAAAGTAGGGATGTCAAAAAACCCGACCCGCAATGACCCGCCCTGACCTGAGACATTTGGGGCGGGTCCGCCCCGTCTTGCAAATGGGGCGGGTCCGCCCAGCCCCGCTTATACAATGGGGCGGGTCCGGGTATTAGTATTGACCCGTGCCGCCGCGACCTGTCCCGATCAGACCCGCTCATTATATAAGTATACATACTTTTTCTTAAATTATACTACAAATATACTTCAACATACATATGTGTATATACAATAAATCATAATTTTTTTGATCTTATAATACTTTAATATATATATATTAGAATGAGATGAACGACGGATTATCAATATCTTCTTTATATATAGCATTTTAATACAAATATTCAATTATTAATATAATTAAATAGATTAACTATTTAAGCCTGAGTAATTTTTCCTTAATTTTTGAAATTTTTAGCGTATCATGAATTTGATTTAATATATTAATTTTAATTATTATTTAGAGATAAGTTTTATGTAGATTCAATGGGTAACAACTTCTCATAAATAAAAATAGATAATATCAAATTAGGTTTTGACGGGGCGGGGTGGACCCGCCCCTCATGGGGCGAGTCATGGGTCAAAAAGTTTGAACCCGTGCAGGTCACGGGGCGGGACGGACCCGCCCCGCCAAGTCACGGGGCAGGTCCGGGTCTTGCATTACCCGCCCGGCCCCGACCCATTGCCATGCCAATGCCTACTATAAAGAACTTGTAGCATCAAAATGAAAACATATGTTAGTTTTCGAATTTTCACAAATACTTTACTTTCACTCTAATATTTCAATATTTGTTTCTTTTCCTTGTGAGAGCATAAACAATTTTTTGAAGTAAATTTAAATGCACATGATCTCTCTAAATATTTGGACGAGAATCCCACGAGTGAAAAAGGGTAGCAAACGGATTAATCAGCAAAATGAAATGTTAGATAAAAAAGGAAATGAAATGGAAACTCCCTCTTCCCGTCTTTGGTGACCCAACGTTTTTCTCGAGTGTGCAAAACCAGGCGGTGGCCACCCGATTCGTACGCCATCCCACGTGTCACAATCCGGAGCCAGCATGGCAGGGGGAGTTGTGGGCCATTCGTAGCGACGAACCGGTCTTTACGTGGGTTGATGGGTGGGTGTGAGCTACGCACTGTAGTCGGTTTGCGAACAAGTTTTCACCGGCAGGTCCGGTCATCGGGTCAATTGTATAAGAACTGGGGGGTTTAAGTCTTTCAGCCACGGATGGATGTTTTTCTCTGAGGTTTTTGTCATTTCTTCCTATAGAAGGAGAGAGAACAGAAACCATGAAAGTTGAGGTTGCGTGTTGGGAATTGTTTGGGTGTTGAGAAAAGCGGAGCTAGGAAAACTATGGGTTGAAGGTTTCTTTCTTGCGCGATCGATGAAAACTGTGGGGGTTTGTTCTTTTCCTAGATTACATTTAGTTTTGTTTTTTTTTGAAAAATTTCTGGTGATCTCGGATCTTACATTATGGGTATTGAATTGTTTAAGCGTGTTGGGTTTTTCTTCTGGAAAGCATGGGTTTTGAGCGATAATTCTCTTAAATTTTGACTAAAATTCTGCGTTGCCTGGTGATCACATCTGGCTTCTTCTTTGTTGAGCTGTTTTGGAAATCCTTAAATCTTTGCCTCTTCTGTTCAGTTTTCTCTTTCTCTGTTCAAATGCTATTCTTTTCATTTTTTAAATTACCCAATCTAATTCTATCATAACTGGGGAAAATTGCTGCATTCCAGTCCTATGATCATTTCATAAATTCATATCCTGAAGTAAATTCATCCCCTTTATGGTTTTTCGTTTTAGTTTAGATCATGCAGAACGTCAGCCTTTTTAAATCATTTTCTGCTGATCTCCTTCTTGTGGTTGATACATCGAAGCGCTATTTGATCGTGTACGGACTACGGAGGGAGGGTTATTTTTTCTTCTTCTTATGATTAACTGATGCTATTTTTCTGGAATCTTTTGTCAGGGTTTATGAAGGGTTTTTTCTAGATCTCCAATTATACCCGTTTCCGTTCCCAGGATCCTATAGGAACATCTTTCTTTTTGTAATATAGGAAGAAGCTTAGATGGAATTGAAAGTTTAAAGGATGGAATCCTATATTAATGAATTACTATGTTCTGTCAATTTTCTTAAACTTAGGTGCAGGTGGAATTAACATGAATTATATTATTTCTTTTTTTAGAATTTCCATTTTGGGGTTTTGTTTTGATGTGCATACCATGTAGTGTTTCTTCCGAGCTGAGCTAGCTGCTTCTAAAAAATTAATACCCTTGTTCAATTCCTTATCATTCTTCCGAAGTTAATGAAAACCCAAAGCTTTCATCAATACTATATTTCATCATGATCGTTTTATTACAGAACTAATTTAACATGGAGACCTTTTCTTCTTTTGTTTTGTTTTTGGTTGCAGGTTTTTTCTTGTTGACCTATCGGCAAGGTGATTACAGAATGTGTGAATGTAAATATAATTTAACAAAAGAAACACAAATAAATTAATACTGCTCTATGTATTTTGAGTTCTTCTTGGTATGCCTTTGTACATGTCCTTGAGATATGGCATCTAAGAAGCGGTTAGATTATTATGGATTTAATGGCTACCAGGTGCCGCCAACACCTCGAGCTGCCCGATCAGCTAGGGTAAGTCACCCATCATGGGTTACCCAATCGACTTTATTTTCTTGATAATGTCCTTATTATCCCCTTTTCTTTCAGAGAAGAGGCATTACCCAGAGGAGAGTAGATGACAATCAGATGTGTGCATTTGACTTATTAGCTTGTATAGCTGGCAAGTTACTGGTGGATGGGGAAAGCTCTCCTACTGCTAAAGATAATAATATCAAGAATGGGGATCTGAATGAAGATCATAGAACCATGATAGGCACTTCTTGCAATCAAAAACACACTTTATTTCTTTCTGATCTTGTTTCACAACCCTCCGTGTCAAATAACTGTTCGAGTGACATTCCACACTCCCAAAACAGTACTTTTTCTAATGTAGAGTTAAGTTTTTCAAGAAACCACATTCCTCCTTGTGGGTCTTTGCCTGCAAATAGGGATGATGTAAAGTTAGGTAGTTGTAATAGAGATGATGACGAAAACCCTATGAGGTCGGATCCATCCCTGACCTTCTATAATAAGGCTTTCAGGAAGTTATTGGCATATAAGTGCTGGGAATTGAATCCAAAATCAGAAGATAAGGAGCATCTTAATGCTGGTGAGTCTTGCATTGTGTTATGATATGAATCCCATTGATTTGATTTGATGCATAATTTGATATCGTAATGGTAATACCGTAATACCCACAGGTGTGGGTGATTGTTTGAAGCACCAAGTATCTCTCAGAGATTACCCTTACAAAAAAAGGAAGCTTTATACTTGCGGCTCGGTGGGGAACTCATCTAGTGGGCTGTCAACCTTATCTGAAAGTGAACGTTTACCTTTTAGTCCTGGTGATTCTCATGGTATGAAATCCTTCCATTGAAGCTTTTATCACTCCCATCAGGAAACGATCAAAAAGATAAATTTCATGTAAATCAATGGCCGCCACTTGGTAGCCATTATTTTCTTACCAGTCAACTTCTGTACATTATAAATTAGCTAAAACTGAAAAAGAATTAGGAGTATCAGTACCTTTTGGCCCGGGGATGATCATTTTAGCTTCTTTTCCAAAATATTTTTTATTTCTTTTTTTTTTCAAAAATATATTTGCATTTTTCTTTTCATAACTCAGCAATTTATCAATATCGATCGTATAGTTTCTGCAATTCATTAACTTAAGCCATATTCATCTTTACCAAACCAAACAGGCTCTATGTTTGGCCTAGCCATGTGTGTATTTTAAAGGGGTTCTGATGTATAAATGTTGTTCTATTTGGTCAGTGAAACTCAAAATTAAGTCTTTCCGAGTTCCTGAGCTTTTTATAGAGATTCCAGAATCTGCAACCATTGGATCTCTAAAGGCATGTGCAAGCTTCATTTCAATAACTTGAATTCCCTTCAAATTATTTGCTTTGTCTGCCAAGTTCCCAGAGTCTAATGCGTTGCAGTTTTTCTTCAGAGGACAGTGATGGAAGCAGTGACTGAAATTCTGGGTGGCGGGCTATGTGTTGGTGTGCTTTTCCAAGGCAAGAAAGTTAGAGATGATAAAAAGACTTTATTACAGACAGGAATTTCTCACAATGACAAGCTTGATGCCCTGGGCTTCACTCTTGAGCCAAATCCTTCTCCAGATACGCAACTTCTGGTGTGTCCAGAAGAGCATAGTCAACTTTATTATGACTCCCCAAAACCACTAAAAAGGTATTCCAGATATCTATTGATCTCCAGATTACCCTGAATTTGAGTCTTAACTCTTAACTGTGTTTTTTCATCACTCCAAATATATGATTCAATGATTGATTTTTGTAGCCTATGCAAAAAAATGCTATTAGTCCATAGTCCACTTTACGTTGTTTTCTTTGTAGTCATCTCCTTTAGAAACTGACGTGTCTCACAGAAATTCAGTCTATCTTTTCCATCACGTTTTTTAAACGCTTAATATTTTATTTCAAGATAGTCCAGAGGTGTAAAGTGAATGTGCGAATGGTGAGTTTCAGTTAGCCTTAAGAAGAAGTTGAGATGAGAAGGCCAGACCAGAGGTGTTGTGTCAGTTTTTTTATACAGAGGTCGATAGAGAGGAACTATAAAGAAAACAGCATTAGTTAGAGGCTTGAATAACAAAAGAAATGAATTTTCAGGTACCTTAAACAAGAAGTGTTATATTTTCATGCAAGAAGAGTATATATTAAAACCTAAATTTTACTGCTTTTACTGCTCCGTCTCTTGTTACTGAATTTACGATAATGAATTTGCAATAGGTGCCCTCCTGCTTGCAGCATAGCTCATGCTGGGGTGAAGAGGGGACCACCTAATGATATCAATGTACCCAGTGATGAAGAAGGAACAAATTTGATCAATTTCATTGAAAGGGATTGTGATCTGGATCCGTCACATCCTGATGATGTCTCATCTGATAAAAGTGCTGCAGGTTCAAGAACACTGGTTCCTGTTTCAGGAGCAAATATGGAATCTCGTGCTACAGTTCCGGTATGGAAGCCAAAGCGAAACAAAGCAGAACGACGTCGAATTCGCCGACCTTTCTCTGTTGCTGAAGTCGAAGCTCTTGTTCAAGCTGTTGAGAAGCTTGGTACTGGAAGGTTCGTTTATGCAAGTTATTTTAATCATAATTTTTACTTCTGAACCTAAAGCTATTAAATTCCACTTTTGTTCCCAATTTTTATTTTTTACTTTCGGTGCCTTGCTATGATTTTTTGTCACTTTTGGTCCTTTCTGGCCACTTATCCAGTGAAACTCAACCGGAATTTGTACAAAGATTGACTGGAGAAATGTTTGGAAAGACCATAAGTGACAAAATTTTATAATCATGGACAAAAGTGGAAATATGAAAGTTGGGGCAAAAGCAGGAATGACTTGATAATCGTGGGATAAAAGTTGGGTTTTTTCTTCTTTTATATAGCACAGCATATTCAATGCTTTATATGTCAAGTCTTTTCCTGTTTATCAACTTTGTCAATTAGAATTTGTAGTTTTCTACCCGACGCTAAAATAACTACTCCGTAGTATATTTGTGTGCTGGTTGAATACTTGAATTGGTCTATAATAGAAAGTGTAGCTAACATTTTTTTGTTACTGAATGACTTAAATCAAAGCTACCTTTATCCTTATTTTTAGATTTGTTTTTTATAATTTTATCTAAAAGAGATGTTTTTCAGTTTCTATAATCAGTCAATTCAACAGCTCCTGCCAGTTATCGACTTTAGCCAATAAGGAAGTCAACAGCCACCCATTATGCTTAAATGTTACCCTTATGATGGATCTGTTGTTTTGCAGATGGCGTGATGTTAAGCTTAGAGCATTTGATGAAGCTAAGCACAGAACTTATGTTGACTTGAAGGTTAGAATTGTAATGCATTGTCCTCTTCTCTTCTCCTTGATTCTTGTAGCTCTACTTTCCATGTCAAGATGTCTTCATTTCTCTATCTGTTCTTGTCTCTTATGAAAGATTTCATCTCCGTTTCTCTTTACCTGTTTGACCGAATCAAGAAAATGTCTTGAAATGAGAAATTAGTCAAAAGTCAAAACATGTATTAATTTACCTTAAATTACCCCTGTTAAAAGCTACCGTCCACATTATGTTGTTCATGGGAAAATGTTATCATCATCATCATTAACCCAATGCCGCAAAGGCTTCCACCTACAGTAGGGTAAGGGGAATCGAATGTACGCAGTCTTACTCCTGTACTAAAATACAAAGAGACCGCATCCGGATGACCCGTAGCGAAAATAGTGAGCCATTTTGCTTTATGTCATCATATTCCCAAGCCAAAATACAGTGTCGACTCCAATAGTGTCTTGGGAAAATGTTATATAGGGAAATAATGTTTAATGGGCATAGGTTTCATAAATGTACATTAACAATAACATTTACGGGGGGGGGGGGGGGTATTGCACAGAACAAGAACATGACTGGGGGGTTTTGTTTGGTGGATGCAAATGCAGGACAAATGGAAAACATTAGTACACACTGCAAGAATATCTCCTCAGCAAAGGCGAGGGGAGCCGGTGCCCCAGGAGCTGTTAGACAGGGTCCTAGCAGCTCATGCATACTGGACCCAGAAACAAGCCAAGCTGATGCAGATCAAACACCTCCCGAAGACTGGCCTACTTCTGTAGATGAATCTGTTTGTTGGTTACTTGGACATAAATGTAAAAATATGAAATGGGAAGCAATTTTTTTAGTAATAAATCCAATGTTTGGGTCCTACTGCTTCGTCATGAGTTGTGTGAGGCGTGTGACCATGTTGATTCGGCACCTCTCAGCCTCGCCCTTCAGGCTATGTGCAACTTAGTCCCGGAGCACCCGGAGTCTTTTCCGTCTCCCTAGCAGCATTGTTTGGCACACTGTAAATTCTTTGTGAATAAGTGCTTTCTGGTGGTTTTCTTTTTCGAGAAAATAATTTTTCTGTACAGACTTTAACATTTTCTCTATGTTGTGGTTCCATTTGACAAAATTATTTGTTGTTTTTGTTTTGAGTCTTTGTCTATTTCTTGCCGCTTTGTCATATAGAGGATGAATGTGATTTTGTGTAGAAAATGACAATTGGTTTTTAAAACTAAATGTTGGAATGAATGTACAAATTTCGGATGAGATTCATGAGCCACTGAACAGGGTTAAAAAGCTATGCAGCACAAAGTAAAAAATACATGCAATATCGGGCAAAATTAGGTGGTTGGGAATGAAGAAATTGCAGAAAAGAATCATTTATATATTGACGGTTGTAGTTAAAGGTGGATCGGGCCCGGTCCGGTTCTGGATCGGGCCCGGCCGGGCTTGGAGTTATTTTGGTAAGGCCCGAGAGCGGCCCGGGAGTCTACCGGTTCTGGGCCGGTTCAGTTTTTTGGGGGTTTTCTTATTTGTTCCAACCCCCACCCATCCCCCACCCCCAAACCCCAAACTCCTCGAAAACACTCAGCCCAGGCCACCTAAATCCAGCCCAAACCCAAAAACACCAAAAATAAAAGCCCGGACCGGACCGAACAGGCTGGGCCGGTCTGCAATTTTCAAGCCCCAGACCCGCCCCCAGAATAGCCTTCGGGTCGGGCCTAAGCCCGGTACCGGTCACCCGAGCCGGTCCGGTCCCGCACAGTAGCGGGCTGGGCCAGTTCCCGGACCGGCTCCATCCCTGGTTGTAGTTCAAGAGTCCCGTTCCTATCAGGAGCTCCTGAAGAGAAGCCCCGTCACCCGTGCGGACAAGACCATCCAAAGGTCTTTCCGGTGGAACTTTTGATGAAATTTTATGAGCATGTTACTCATAGATTCTCGTTTATTCATACCAAATTTCAGCTCAAAATTCAATCGGGAAAGCAGTCAAATAAATTCTTGAAACATACTGCGCATTATATGTGTGCAGAATGAGTCATATGTTTCAAGAATGTATTTGACTGCCTTCCCGATCGAATTTTGAGCTGAAAATTGGTATGCAAAGTAGACTTGATAAGGAACATGTTCAAAACACTTCATCAAAAAATTACCTTGAAAAGACCCTCTGATGGTCTCGTTCGCACGGGACTTTTATTCGGGAGCTCCTGATATGAACTGTACTTCAAGTGTCCCAAATCTTGGTGTTTTATTGGCTTAGAGTGCAACATACTCCGCTCACGAGCTAGGCAAAAAAAAAAAAACGATTTTGGATTAATATTAAGATATTCTTCAAAGTAATTCCTTCAGAATCATTATTTTTTAATTAACGAAGTAAAAAATATGTGAAACCTATACTAAAAATTCATTCTTTTAGAATGAATACAACTTCACCTATTCGAATATGCAATACATCGTAAACGATTTTAATTATAAATTTGCAACTCTTCAATAAGAATAGTTCCATCCACTTCCCTCTTCCTTCACAACCACCTCCTCTCCTTTTAAATTCTCAGATATACACTAACAGTTTGATGTATTAACATTAGAGAATGTAATTAGTGTCTGTTTAGATTTTTTTACTTGGACTGATATTAACTAGGGTTGTAAACGAATCGATTCGAGTCGAATAATGAGATTTTGCATTTCTATTTGTTTAATTTTTTCGAAAATGAATTCGAATTCAAATATGAAACGAATATTAATTTCGATTTTTTTTGTATTTGTTTAACAATACGAATAGTTAACGAATCATAAACGAATGTCGATTTGATTTGATTTGAGCATATGTTAAATATAAGTCAAATATCACTTTAAAATAACTTTTCTTATACTCCGTATTTTTTATGTTGTAAATGCATGGTATGACTTAATATTTGTTTATAGAATTTAAATTTAATGAATCAATGCATTTTTTGATGGTGCACAACAGCACAATATACTAAAGTGAATTAATTTTATGATTAATAAATATAAATCTATTTCAAACTTTTTGAAGTAAACACTAACACACACATATTAAAAATTATACTTATAATGTGTGAAATAAGTTGATAATTGTATATATCAAAGTCAAACAACTCTAATTTTATTCTTCAAATCGAATACATAATTACTTGTATTGTATTTGAAAGACATTTGAAGCAAAAAATTGAATGTATTCGTATTTATATTCGGGTTTATTACAAATGGGCTTGGAATCTGTATGCAAAAGTGTATGTATGTGCTACACTCTGAGGGTAATGCTATCTTTTAAAAGTTATTATGGTGTTATTACTATTATTATTAATATTGATATTAATATTACCATTATTATTAATCGAATATATTTGATTAATATTCGAATCGAATACACTGGTATTCTTATTTGTATTTGATAACAACTTAAATCAAATTTAATATTCTTATTTTTATTTGCATTTGAATTTTGCTGACCCCAATATCTTTTGGGACTAAGACTTGGATGTTGTTGTTGTTGTTGTATTTGTATTCGAATTTTCCGAATTCGAATCGTCTTATACGAATTCGAATCGCGAATCGAGCACAAATTATTTGATTCGTTTACAACCCTAACTATAACGCTAAATCATATCAGATTTAAACTAACATGAACAAACTAGATTTAAAAAATAGCTAAATAATACAAATTAATATCATACCCTACTTCAAACTAGACCAAACTTAAAGTCTTATGAGATGTTTACTTCGCTCCTAAAGTCAAAGTTAGATTAGTAAGACAGGTGTAGTACCCTACCGCCATCCTACCCCCCCACCCCTACCACCGCGACCCCACCCCGACCCCTACCCTACCCCCATCCTCATACCTTACCCCACATCACAACCCTCCCCACCCCCACCCCCTACCACTTGCCCCTACCTCGGCCCCACCACGATCATACCCCTTACCTCCACCCCACCCAACCCTGTTCGTACCTACCCTGCCTCGACCCCTACCCCACTACCCCATACAACCTTCCCCTACCTCGACCCCATCCTACCCCATCCCACCCGCCCCCTTGCCCTACCCCGATCATAACCCCACCCCACCCGTACCCTCTTACCCTACCCCGACCCTAGCCTGTTACCCATACCACCTACCCTTACCTCGACCCCACCCCTACAAGTAGGGTAGGTGTTGGGGTGTTGTAGGGGAGTAAGGGTAGAGGGTAAGGTCATGGTAAGGGTAGGGGTTAAGGGTGTGGAATTAGGGGTAGGGTGGGGTTACACGGTATAGCGTGGGGGTGGGGTTAGGGGTATAGGTACACGTACGAGGTTAGCCCACATATTATATTATATACTTGTGTTGTTGTTTTTTACTCCAGGGGGGCTGAAGTAATTAGGGATAAAACTCACTCCATTGAGTTTCAAACCCTTATGTGCCTAGCGGGTTTCGAACTCGAGACCTCCCGCTAAGCACGGTAACCTCACAACCAGCTCGGCTGGAATGCTTGGTTATACTTGTGTTCATGAATGTTTGTGTGTCTATATAGGGTTATTTTGGACATTTTAATGTTAAATGGTGTTTTAAACCCTTTGAAGTAAATATTATCTTACAACATTGCTTATTTTATGCGTTGTTTATTAACGAGTCTTAATAAACACTGTTTAGTAACCAGTGAAGTAAACGTGTCCTTAGTGTTTGACATGTGTGTAATTTGTGTGGTTCCTTTGATATAGTGGAATATGAGTTGTTTAATTTGCCATATATCTCATTCGAGTTTCTTGATTTCATAAATTCACACTTTAATGCCTATACTGCTACACATCATCTGCAAACCATGCTTCCAACATCCAAGGGTCACATGCTCATTATGGTTGACATTGTGGTGAATAATTTAACAGAACTACATATGACCATTCAAATAAGAGATATAGTAATTTTTCCAATTAGACAGGTCTGAAATAATCAAGTGTCCACATAAGAAATCTTATATAAATCCTATATATACTGAGGAAATCTCATGGTTGCTCATCTACCAAGCATGAAATGTAATGAAAAACGTGTCATTTTGGGAATATAACTGTTTGTGACTCGAATGGAGGAGGGGTATAGTAAGCAAGAAAAACTTATATACTACGTAGCATATGTATATCAAAATTGATCACTTAGAGGTTTTTTCTAAAGAATGAAGTAATGAACTACTCCGTAATGGAACCAGACCAATCCACCACTAGTTAAAACTGCATCCTATCCTTTCTCCTCGAGGGGATGTGCATACTGATTTTACTCTGTAATGGAACCAGACCAATCCACCACTAGTTAAAACTGCATCCTATCCTTTCTCCTCGAGGGGATGTGCATACTGATTTTCAGTTCGTTTTTTTTTCCGGTTAAGTTCGATTTGATACGGATTGGAAGATTTATTACCAAACAAAAATCACACTATTTTTTTGTATAGTTGGATTCGGTTTAATTTAGTTCGATTCAATTTGGATTTGTCATTTTTAATAACATATGAATGTTTTATTGAATCTCTTTAGTTTCATTCAATTTTATTCGGTTTCTCTCGATTTCAACCCAATTTGGTTTAATATGGTTTGTGAGAAATTTTATCAAACTCAAACCAAATTGCATATGATCTTATTTCGATTCGGATTGATACGGTTTGGTTAAACCAAACTGATATACCTACCCCTTCTCCAGATAGTCACTTACATTATCTTTAAATAAATGTTGCCTTCCCCGATTTGTGAGTGTGTACTATATTGTTGTGCGCCTCAAATAAGGATGTTTTCCCTATTTAGTTATGTTGCGAACTTGCATAAAGTTCTCTCAGGTTAGTGTTGGACACGTTTGAAATAGACAAATTTTTAGAAGACGTTTGATAGTGTGCGAAATAATTACTTTATATCATTGCATGTGAAATATAAGGGTATACTATTTTGGGAAAAATCTCTAAATAGGAGTAAAAAGGTGAAATATAGGGGCATAATATTTTGGGAAAATCCCCTAAATAGGAGTAAAAAAGTTTTGAATTTCTAAAATAGGATTGCTATGTTTTTATTCCCTAAACAGAAGTAATTTTTGTCAAGTTTGACATTATTAAGCCTTAAACATGACAGTTTAATAAAACTTGATAGAAATACTCATATTTAGGGACCCTATTCATTTCTTCGGGTGAACCAATTTAATTGGTTAATTAG